CTTCTGTTAACACATGCTACAGCTAGCTTCTGTTAACACATGCTACAACTAGCTGCAGATGATAGCACATGCTACAGCTAGCTGCTGCTGATAGCACATGCTACAGCTAGCTGCTGCTGTTAACTCATGCTACAGCTAGCTGCTGCTGTTAACTCATGCTACAGCTAGCTGCTGCTGTTAACTCATGCTACAGCTAGCTGCTGCTGTTAACACATGCTACAGCTAGCTGCTGCTGTTAACACATGCTACAGCTAGCTGCTGTTAACACATGCTACAGCTAGCTGCTGCTGTTAGAACCTTAAATTCACGTGAGGCAGCGCAGAACGATAACCTGACAACTCGGACCAGAGACCATCTACTGCAGGTAAGACACTGACGAGAGCTACCTGTATCTTTGGACACGCCTTCATCTTCTCCTCCTGCGGGATGGTGTTGGTCACCACCACGGCCTCGAACGGGGCGCTGTTGATGCGGGCGATGGCGGGGCCCGAGAAGATGCCGTGCGTGAGGATGGCGTAGACTTTGGTGGCGCCGGCGTCGATCAACCTGGAGGAGACACGGAGGCCACGGTTCATGGGTCGCTACAAACACTGAAAACCCGCTCCGAGGCGGCGCTCACTTGTCGGCGGCGTGGCAGATGGTGCCGCATGTGTCGGCCATGTCGTCCACCATGATGGCCACACGGTCCTTGACGTCCCCGACCAGAACCATGCGGTCCACCTCGTTGGCCTTCTTCCTCTCCTTGTGGATGAGGGCGAAGTCCACGTTGAGGCGGTCAGCGATGGAGGTCACCCTGAGAGAGGACAGAATCTTTTACCCCTGAACAAAGTCCAAACAACAAGGACTGAAGCTCCGCCCCTTACCGTTTGGCTCCGCCCGCATCCGGAGACACGATGATGCAATTCTTCCACTCAGGAATGTTTTCTTTGATCCACTGGAGGACGGCCGGTTCTGCGTACAGGTTGTCCACCGCGATGTCGAAGAACCCCTTCAAGACCAGCAGAGACCACACGGTTGTTAGACCCCTGAGAGATCGGAGGACCGGCCCGGCTGACGAGGACTGACCTGGATCTGAGAGGCGTGCAGGTCCATGGTGATGATGTGGTCCGCCCCGGCCACAGACAGCATGTTGGCCACCAGCTTGGCAGAGATCGGAGCTCGGCTCTGAAAGACGAGACGGATCAGGTCCACGAGAGACAACGTTGAACAGACGGACTACTGAGGACCTGTCAGACCTCCTGCAGTCCAGTGGATCCTCCAGAACCCTCAGATCTAAAATGATCACCAGCCGGTCCACAGAGGTGACCAGGTCTGTAGTGGTCCTAATGTTTTATTGTTTAAATATATATTTTATAAAAGTAGTTTTTATTGCAGCTTTTGGAGCAACAGTTGTTTGTTTTTTATTTTCTCTGTAAAAATTTATTTGATTTAGAAGAAAACGTAAAATCTTTGAATCTTAAACGAGTTTTCTTAATAACCTTGTTTAAACGTGGAGCTGCTGCTGAAGATAAACTCACAGGAATTTATTTAACATAAACGATGTTTCCCCAGTTTCATGTTTGTTCGCCTTCACAGGCCCCGCCCACAGGCCCCGCCCACAGGCCCCGCCCCACGCAGGTCACACGACTCTGTTTAACTGCAGCGAACTATTAACCATTAGATGAAGCTCAAAGTAACATTTAATTATATTTTGCTTCGTCATTTTCAGATTATTTAAATAAAAACATTGAAGTATAAAACAATAAATGTAATATTTAACATTTAGTCCGTCCTCTGTTTTTAAAGTGAAAATATTTGACTTGTGTTTTTCTCTGAGGATTTTTCACCAACGTGTATATTGTTCTCATCGAAGACCCCAAGTCCCAAAACCGGGGATTGAACTCACGACCTTGTTGCTCCGAGGCAAGAGTGCCAACCGCTGAGCCACCGTGCAGCTACAGCAGAAACGGCTCACCTTGTCTTTCTTGTCCTGCCGAGCGTACGGGAAGCAGGGGATGACGGCGGTGACGCGGCAGGCCGAGGCGATCTTGCAGGCGTTGATCATGATCAGCAGCTCCATCAGGTTGTCGTTGATCTCGCCGCAGCCGCTCTGCACGATGTACACGTCCTCGCCGCGCACGCTCTCCCCGATCTCCACACTGAAACAGGAAGGAGAAATGCAAGGAGAGTCCTCCAGAATCATAAACAATAACCAGAAGTTTGGGATAAACACACGCTAACCGCGCTAGCTGCTGTGGTGCTTCCAATGTTAGCTTAGCACGAGTGCTAACTGTTGATCAGCTGATGTTTACTCCTGATCAGCTGATGTTTACTCTCGAACCGGATCTGTACTCCAAAAATCAACAAGTGAAGTTCACTAAAAGACATTCGGACCGCTTCATGTTTATCCACAGCAGCTACGGCAACCCTGCTGGGACAAATAAAATGTCAGCATGTTTTTTTTTTAAAACTTCTGCCTTAGTTTTTACAAATCTATAAATAAAGACTCGGTCCAGAACTGCAGAGCGGAAATGGCCGCTGCGCTCAGAGACTCAAAACAAACATCTGGAGAAGCTTTAAAGTTCCTTCAAGGAGCTCCAGATGTTTGCCCAACGAGATTAAATAATCCAGATTGTAACGAGTTGAACATTCCTGAGGTGAAGGTCAGCGGGTCGCCGGCCTCGGTCATGTGACCGCATCACGGTCTGGACCTGCTGCAGAACCCTGGACCAGCAGAGACCTGCTGCAGAACCAGCTGTTTGTGTTTGAACAGCTGCATCACCAACTCAAACGCTGCACGGGAACATGTTTAGTAACTGACCCAGTTAAACATCAAAGGAAACTGAAGATAAAATGTTTGTTTTGGACTTTACTCTGCACATCAGTTTTCTCTGGACAGACTCCCTCGGGACTAATGAGACCTTCACCTGCACCAAGTTAACAAGACCCACCTTGAACCTCGTGATTTAAACACTTCGCTTTATTTAAGCGCATATACTGGGTCACGTGACTGCACCAAATTAAACGGAAATGATTAACGTGAACGCGCTTCCATTATCGGACACAGCCCTACACGTCACTTTCGCCTACTCCGCTTTTAATTTTAAACTGTTTGGACACAAACAGCTTGTGAGACACACAGAAACTCAGCAGAACGGTTCCGTCCAGGCAGAGTTCGGTAAAAACCAAGAACCGTTCCCGCTGCACCGCCTCGGAGGTGTTGCGTCCAATTCTGTACACCCCGACAACCTGGTCCTCAAGTTTCAGCTTTCAGGCTAAACGCGCGCATTTTAGCCAGGCCATAAAGCAAACTCTTCTCATTAAAGTTAAAAAACTAAATCCTTCATGTTTCGATCTTAGATGTTCAGAAAAGTTCGGGGGAAATAAGTTAACCCGGGTTATAAAGCGCAGGAACAGCCGCGACATGTCGGGTAAAGTCATCACAGCAGGCAACAAGCGGACAAAACAAGAACTTCCGCCGAGCTCCAGCTCAGAACTGCTCCATTGAACCTGCGCACGAACACCGAGACACTCGTAAACAAGTGCGGGCAACAGGCCCGTGTCCGATGAAGGAAACATCCATATTAGCTTGCTAGCTTGTTGTGTTTACATGTGGTTAGCTAATCGCTTGCCGCCCGATAAATAAAGGGTCCGCTCGGTTAACTGAGCGCCGGCTGGAAGTGGAGGCGGGCGGCGAGTTGAGCTCTTAAAAGTGCCAGAAAACCCTGCGCCCTATTGCTAAGTTTACATTTCACTGATGGTATAAACGGTTCTGGTGTGTTTCTATCGGCGTGTTGGTCCAGGGGGAGTCCGCTGAATTCGAGCGGAGCCTCCGGGGATGTAAATGGAGCGGACCCCAGTGAATTACCGTTAGCTCGAAGCTAAGCTAACTGAAACACGTGATAACAAAACCGGAGCCAGGAGCTCAGTTTTCGCTCCAAAAAACTAAAATAAAAGATTGTATTTTACGCGCGAACGCGTTTAAAGAAGCCGCGGGGAGCACGTGAAGACATCCGACACCGAACTGACCACGTCTCCTGGTTGCTGAACTTCTTGGTGATCACCTTCCCCAGCTCCAGCCCCAGCCGATCCGCCACCTTCTGGGACAGGTCGTGGTGCGAGCTCCCGCTGAAAAGCACGATGTTCGGCATCTTCACGGCCGAGAAGAACCGGGACAGAACCGGCGCGGCTCGCTGGAGGAGGAACAGACGATGTGAGGAGGGGGGGGTCTCCCCGCTGGTGAGGACGGAGGAGCTGCTACTGCCGCGGCATGGCGCAGAGGGAGCTCCTGCCGCTCATTGGCCGCCGAGCTCACCGCTCTCTGCGCGGCTGTTAGCAAAATAACCCGTTCACCGCCGCACAGGCAGCTCAAGATGGCTGCCACTTCAGTTTACAGACCGACTGTGTGGTAGTAGCTGAGAGTCGTTCGCAGCGCACACACCGACAGACTTGAACTTTATGGATTTTGAAATATATTCTTTAAACTCTTAACTTTCATTTTCCTGCTTTTTATTTCTCACTTTAGGCTGTAATTTTGAGCAATTAGCATTTTACTACTTCGGCTTTTAGCTGCTTAGCTTTTAGCTAACATTTTCTTGCTTTTGCATTTCAAAACTTATGGCTTTAGCTAACGTTTTTTCATTGCTATTTGCTAGCCTTTGGCTGCATTTAGCTAGTATTTATTTCCTGCTTTCGGCTAGCATTTTTCTGCTATTTGCTAGTATTTAGCTATAGTTCCCGTTTTTAGCCACTTGTATTTTTTTGCTAGCATTTCACTATTGGCTTTAGTGAATGTTTTCCTTCATTTTGTTAGCATTTAGCTACTTCTGGCTACACACCAACAATTTCCTACTTTTAGCTAACATTTTCTGTTATTTGTTAGCTAGTCAAAGACCATGGGGAGGGAAACGTGTCAGGGGACTGGGAGAAGAGGAAAGTCAAGAATGTAGGACTGAGGGTTGCAACTCTAAATGTGGGGACAATGGCAGGCAAAGGTAGAGAGCTGGCTGACATGATGCTGAGAAGGAAGGTAGATGTTTTATGTGTCCAAGAAACCAAGTGGAAGGGCAGCAAGGCTCGCAGCATTGGAGCAGGGTTCAAACTGTTTTACCATGGTGTGGATAGAAAGAGACATGGAGTAGGGGTGGTCCTGAAGGAGGAGTTGGCAAAGAATGTAGTAGAGGTGAAAAGAGTGTCAGATAGGGTGATGTGTCTGAAGGTAGAAGTAGAAGGTCTGATGCTAAACATCGTCAGTGGTTATGTTCCACAGGTTGGATGTGATGAGGAGGAGAAAGATGCATTTTGTAAAGATCTGGATGAAGTGATAGAGAGTATTCCCAGGGAGGAGAGAGTGGTGATGGAGCAGACCTGAATGGACATGTTGGTGAAGGAAACAGAGGATGAGGAAGTGATGGATAGGTTTGGTGTCAAGGAAAGAAACCAGGAGGGACAGATGGTGGAGGATTTCACCAAGAGAATGGAAATGGCTGTAGTCAACACCTGTTTCCAAAAGAGGGAGGAGCATAGAGTGACCTATAAGAGTGGAGGAAGGAGTACGCAGGTCGACTACATTCTGTGTAGAAGAGGAAACCTGAGGGAGATTGGAGACTGTAAGGTTGTGGCAGGGGAGAGCGTGGCCAGACAGCATCGGATGGTTGTGTGTAGAATGACTGTTGCTGTGAAGAAGAGAAAAAGAGTCAAATCAGAGAAGAAGACCAAATGGTGGAAGATGAAGAAGGAAGAATGTTGTGATAAATTCAGAGAGGAGCTGTTAAAGGCTCTGGGTGGTAAGAAAGAGCTTCCAGATGACTGGACTACTACAGCAACAGTAATTAGAGAGACAGGTAGGAAGGTACTTGGTGTGTCATCTGGACAGAGAATGGATGATCAGGAAACCTGGTGGTGGAATAGTGAAGTGCAGGAAGATGTTCAAAGAAAGACGTTAGCCAAGAAGAAATATGACAGAGAGAGGACTGAAGAGAGGAGACAGGAATATAAGGAGATGAGACGTAGAGCAAAGAGGGAGGCAGCTAAGACAAAGCAGAAGGTGTATGATGAGTTGTATGGGAGAATGGACACTAAAGAGGGCGAGAAGGACTTGTACCAATTGGAGAGACAGAGGGATCAGGCTGGAAAGGATGTGCAGCAGGTTAGGCTTGTTAAAGATAGGAATGGTAATGTTCTAACAAGTGAGGAGAGTGTGACAGGAAGATGGAAGGAGAACTTTGAGGAGCTAAAGAATGAAAGAGAAAGAAGAGTAGAGGTCATAGAAACTGTGGACCAGGAAGTGGGAAAGATCAGTGAGGGTGAAGTCCAGAAAGCTCTGAAAAGAATAAAGAAAGGGAAGGTAGTAGGACCTGATGACCAGTGGAGGTTTGGAAATGTCTTGGAGAGATGGCAGTGAGGTTCTTGACTCAAATATTCAATGACATATTTGAGTGTGAGAAAATGTCTGAGGAATGGAGAAGAAGTGCTGGTGGCCATTTTGAAGAACAAGGATGATGTACAGAGTTGTAGCAACTACAGGGGAATTGAGTTGATGAACCACACGATGAAGATCTGGGAGAGAGTTGTGGAAGCTAACTTCTTGTCCCCATGGATTGATTATGGGGGCCAAGTGCCACAATATTAACTCTTGTAACTACACATCTGCGTAAAAAACAACAAGAAAATGTTTAATAATGTTGTTACTGCTGTCAGAGATTCAGCGTAACCCTGGACCCACACACATTACAGCACACCAAAAGATTTTAAAAACATGTCGGGACTACACTTCTTGAACATTAATGCACATAGCCTCCTTTGTAAAATCAATATTCATTCAACCTTTATTTACAAAGGTTAATCCCACTGAGCCTTGGGAACTCATTTACAAGAGAGACCTGAAATGCTGAGGATTTGGATCTGTTCATCTGGTGCTGATGTAATTTTTATTTCTAAAACTTAGAAGGACGAGACAGCCCCTGGTTTACTCCTGAGCTAGCTGACCTCCTGCACAGGAGAGACCAGCTTTGGGCCACAGCCAGACATTCTGGTTCAAACACTGACTGGTTGAACTTTCAATAGCAGCAGAATAAATGCACAACTTCCATCAAAGCCGCAAAACGTAACTATTATCTCAGACCTCCAAAGATCTAAATTATCCTAAAAGATTCTGGAAAACCATCAAATCTCTCTCTGGCAGCTCCCATTCGTCTGACCTCCCATCACAACTTCTCATTAATTCTGTTCCTGTGTCAAATAAGCACAAGATCTTGAACAGTTTCAAAAAACATTTTGTTGCTTCTAGTTCTTTATTTGAAACAGTTACTAATGGAAGATCAGCCTCTTCACCTAAAAGTCAATCATCTACAAATCAAATCTACAAGTCAATCCTGAGAAAATCACACCTTTCTCTTTCTCCGTTCTCAGTCAGTGAGGTTAATAAATTGCTAAAAGGTTTAGACTCTAAAAAATCTGCAGGTCCAGATGAACTTCCACCTTATTTCTTAAGGCTGGCTGCTCATATCATCACAGTCCCTGTGACCCACATCTTTAACCTGTCCATGAGACAAAACTCCACCCCAGACACTTGGAAAACAGCCTTTGTTCTTCCTTTGCTGAAGGGAGGAGACCCCCCCTCACTGAACAACTATGGACCAATCTCTAAACTCTGCATTTTAGCCAAGGTTCTAGAAAAACTGATAAACTCTCAAATCAAAAAGTATCTGGACTCATTTAACATCTTACCTCCACATCAATCTGGTTTCAGGAAACAACACAGCACAACCACTGCTTCACTGAAGGTTCTTAATGATGTTGTTGAAGCACTGGATGCTAAAGATTATTGTGCTGCACTTTTCTTAGACCTGTCTAAAGATTCTGACACTGTGGATCAGAACATCTTGTGTCATAAACTCTCAGAAACTGGTTTCTCAGAACACACCATTGGTTGGTTCTCTAACTATCTCTCAGACCAGAGGCAATGTGTTCAACATAATGGTACTTCCTCCAGTTATCTAACAATCAACAATGGTGTACCACAAGGCTCTGTCTTAGGACGCACTCTCAATGTAGGTCAGAGCATCCCTGATGCATCCATACATTTCTATGCTGATGACACAGTTGTTTATTGTCGAGCTAAAACTGTTGCTAAGGCTTTCCAGCTTTTGAAATCTGCATTCAACATCATCCAGACTGATTTGTTTCACCTCAAACTTGTCCTAAACGACGACAAAACCAAAGGGATGCTTTTTTCAAATAGGAAATCAGTCCCAGCAGTTCTTCCTCTGATTTTATCCTCAAATGGTGTCCCCACTGAGTTTGTTGATTCCTACAAATATTTGTGCATCTTGGTCGACTCACATCTCTCTTTTAAGCTCCATGTGGAAAACTTGGTAAAGAAACTGGAAGTTAAACTGGGTTTATTTTTCAGAAACAGATCCTGTCTAACCCTGAACCCTGAGGAACACCTTGTATCTGTGACTTTCCTTCCCTCCATTGATTATGGTGACATTATTTACATGAACGCTCCTACAAGAACCCTGCAGATGTTGGATGCTGCAGATGTTGGATGCTGTCTATCATGGTGCACTAAGATTCATAACTGGCTGTGATTATCGTACCCACCACTGCACCCAGTATTCACTGGTTAACTGGTCACCATTAACTTCACACAGACTCTCTCACTGGTACATTTTCATCTTTAAATCACTTCCTGGTCTGCTGCCTTCATACATCTCCTCCTACATGTCTCTGTGTGAGTGCAGCTACAGCGTGCGCTCTCAGGACATCATTACCTGCAGTGTTCCCTCAATGAGGACTGAACTAGACAAAAGGACCTTCTCCTCCTCCGCTCCTGTTTCCTGGAATATCTTGTAAAAACACCTGAAGCTCTCGACCTTTGACCTCTCTAAGTGGCTTCAAACATCTGTTCAGTTCATGCAGATGTTCCTGTTTTTAGTTTTCTACATCGCCTCCTAATCTTGCTGTTTTTGTTCCGTTTTTAAAATACCATTTACTTCCATTTATTTTTCAATTTGCATCCTTCCTTTTATGATTGTCCATTGTTGTCTTCACTCTTTGTTTAATTCAGGTCTCTCCGGTAAACGAGTCCTCGAGGCTCAGTGAGACTAACCTGTAGAAATAAAAGATGAACTGAAAATTAAATTGAAAAATTTCAGCATTCATTGACGTTATTAGCTTGTAATTATGACATAAAATACTGAAACGTAAATGTCTCATATTAAATTAAAATTCTTTATAAAATCAGTTTTGAAACAGCCGAACTTCACCTTTCGGTCTTTTGTTTGATTAAATGAGCCGAAGCTCACAGAAGCTGCTTGAAGTAACGTTTCAAGCGTCTCCTTCCTTTTCTGACGCGTATCGAACGTTTCTGTCTTCAGACTCTGCAGATAAAACGGAGTCAGCTGACGGCCCGGATCCTGCCGGAAGCCTCGTGATTCTGGGCCTCCTAACCAGATTTTCCACTTGGACTCAAGTCGCCTGAGACCGGCTACAGTCGGACCTGGTCCGGTTTCTTTAAGCGCAGTGAAGATTAGAAGCCGTGTCCTCCACATCAGGCCCCATTGATTATCTGAGATTGAACTAACGTGGACTTTGAGTGCAACCTGTTAAAAACATGATTTTCCAGCAGACAGCCAGGAGCCTGAACGCCCCGTCACCTGTTGGATCGATTCAGACCTCCTGCCGTCGATCCTCCACAAACCTTCTGAACCTTCTCAGCCCAACACGAGCTAAAAGATATTAATGTTGTTTTTCTGAATATGTGGGTCATCTCAAGGGAGGTGTGGAGGACGACTATCAGCTACTACCACGCCAACATTTAGCTGCTGCAAGTTACAGCTATATTTGACCAGCTGTGGCGGCCATCTTGATTTAGGTCAACACGAAGACGTACAGCCGACGTTTAGTTTCTGAAGCTTCGTCAAAATCCAACCAGTGGTTCAGGAGATATTATGCTAACATACAGCCAAACATGCTCAACATCTGGCTCCAATAATAACATTAGCAATAACAACAATATCAATACTACTACTAATAACAACAACAATTATGTTATAATGATAATAACAATAATAATGACACTAATAATAATGATAATAACGTTGTTGTTGATAACAATAAAGATAATAATAATAATGTTATAATGATAATAATAATGTTGATAACAATAAAGACAATAAAAATATGTTAATAATGTTAATAACAATAATAACGTTGTTGATGATAACAATAAAGACAATAATAATGTTATAATGATAATAATAATGTTGATAACAATAAAGACAATAAAAATATGTTAATAATGTTAATAACAATAATAATAACGTTGATGATAACAATAAATATAATAATAATGTTATAAAGATAATAATAACGTTGATGATGATGATAACAATAAATATAATAATAATGTTATAAAGATAATAATAACATTGATGATGATGATAACAATAAATATAATAATAATGTTATAAAGATAATAATAACATTGATGATGATGATAACAATAAAGATAATAAAAATATGTTAATAATGTTAATAACAATAATAATAACGTTGATGATGATAACAATAAAGATAATAATAATGTTATAAAGATAATAATAACGTTGATGATGATGATAACAATAAAGATAATAATAATGATAATAAAACACACACACGCCGGTCGATGTTTGTAAATATATTCTGTAGGTGGTGTCAGACGTCCGAAGCGAAGGTCCCAAAGAAAGAACATTTTTCATCAACAGAGACAAACAACAAACAAAAATAACTTTTTAAAATCCATTTTCATGTAAACAGGATTTGCTCTTGAGCCACAGTGGTTATATTAATATTTATATAAAAACTGGCCGAGGTGGACGTGACAATCAAACGACTTGTTTTTATAATCCGATCCGTTGTCGTGGAGGAGGAACATTCTTTGGGAGCGTTTTGTTTTCGTGTCCATCTTACGCCGTCCGTAAGCGCTGGATCGAGTTCAAACTGCGGCGTCGCTTCAACGTCCAAAATCCACAGAAGAAGAAGAAGAAGAAGAAAGCCTTCCTGCCGGGCGCTGGAGTCCTCCAGTGTTCTTCTGTTGTGCAAATACATTTTAAATCTTGTTTTCGTTACATAGACAAGCAGGCATGCTGACTCACAAACCATGCAAAGAGTTCAAGTCGAGCAGAGCGACCGACACGAGTCCCTTAAAAAACTGAACGACAGAAGCCGAATTAGCCGAAAAATAAAAACGATAGAAGCCGAATTAACAGAAAAATTATTTAAAAAAAAATATATAATCCGAATTAACCCCCCCAAAAAAAGCTAGAAACCGAATTAACCAAAAATAAAAATGATAGCCGAATTAACCGAAAAAGATAGAAACTGAATTAACAGAAAAGCCAAATTTCGCCCCACCCAAAAAAGAAGCTAAATTAACTGACCCCCCCCCCCCCAATAAAAAAAAAAAATTAAATGATAGTAGCCGAATTAATTGAAAATAATAACGAAAAAAGCCGAATTAACAAAAAAAAAAAACAGACAGAAGCTGAATTAACCAAAAAATAAAAACGATAGAAGCTGAATTAACCAAATGAGTGGAATGTTAGAAAGTTTATGAATTAATGATAAAAGAGAGTTTTGTAAAAGTTAAAGGTACTCATTTCAAAGTCATGAAGACGGGACAAAAACATTGGTTAATGTGTTCTTAAAATAAATATTTGTAGCCAGATGCTAGCTACCGTGTTAGCTTACGAAAACAGCCAAAGTGACTTTTAAGTTCCTGACGTCAAATGTTTGGAATAGATCTGAACGCATGTTTGGAAAGATAACGTTACGACATATTGAAAAAACAAACTTGTGCTGCAGAGACGAACAGCTGTTGATATATTCTCAAGCACAGTAACAGGAAGTGATGTCGGTAACAGGAAGTGACGTTAAAGGGGAACAGAGCTACAACAGCTAACAGACGGCAGAGAATAATCTGATGTTTTAGATTATTTTCAGTTTCTATCGGAGGGATGAAGACTCCAAAGAGCAGGAAGTTCCTCTGTGATGTCACTTCCTGTTTCGCTTTTAGTTCAAAATAAAATATGCCTGTTATGTGATGAGTAAAATGTTGTATTATGGCAATTTTAATAAAATATTTATGTATTACTGTACTTTTTTGGATTTGTAGGATGTGCAGGTAAGAGACACTTTGACTTCGGCGGCCATGTTTGTTACGTGAGTCATGTGACCGAAGCTTCTGCATGGATTAAGTGCTTTGTTTACACCAAGTGCATACCCGCATTTCATAATCACAATCGACACTTCGTGATGAGTACCTTTAATCTGAAAACTAAACGTCAAAGATGATGTCATCACAGTCAAAGTGCACGTGGTCCTGCGCACGGCAGGACGACGTGCGTTTTAGGGCAACGGAGTCAAGAAACGCATGGCGGGAAAACGCGCTGCTCTTCTGTTCACAGCGGGGTTTTTTCCCCGCTCACAATATCGTAGCTGTCGTACGTCAATAAAGTTTCCACGGAGGAATCGGCGCAAACGCGTTTAAATACACGACGGGAGCAGAGCGGCCGGGGGGAGGAGCCACAACCAAACGACGAGTTCTCCGTAAATACAAGAAAAGCACCGCCGGCCGCCCAACGGATGAAAACACGGAAACAGAAGCTGCGGATGACACAAACCGACATAAAACCCTAGAAAAATAAACTTGTGGACGTCCCGGACACGTTCGGCTCACGCTCAGGTAGTGGCCGACGCTCCATCGGCTCGTTAAAAGGCGTAAACATCGAGCCTCGTTCTAACGAGGACCGTAAACTGCTGACTCATGCATCGGCTGCTCGGCTTTTTGGGAAACATTCAGGAATCCTGCGCCGGACTCGAGCTTCGGCTGTCGAGCTTCGGCTCTTGAGCTTCGGCTGTCAAGCTTCGGCTGTCGAGCTTCGGCTGTCGAGCTTCGGCTGTCGAGCTTCGGCTCCAAGTGTTTCTGCAAAGCGATGACTCCGCCAAGGGGAAGCTACATCAAAGGCTAAAACACGTCCGTGAATCTTTTATAAATCCTCTCGTTTCGTTACAGAAAAATAGATCCATCCAAAGATCCTGTCGGCGACACGTTTCCTGTAAACACGCTGAAAGACTTAGTCCAGGCCCCGCCCCCTCGCCGTCCTGGCGGCGAGAACACTTAAGGCAATCTTTTCCGTAGCGTCGCCAAGGCACTCCGCTCATCCACCGAACCTTCAGAGCCTCGAACGCTCGACTCCACAGTGATCGCGGCCCGTCACATGTCGCCGCGGCGCCCCCGTTTTGTAGGAAACAAGTTAAGAAAAGAAAAGAGAACCACCCCCCCAGCTGGGGGGGGGTTCGTCTGCTGTCCCTGGTGTCTGGACTGAGCGTGCTCAGTGCCCACCCCCTCACAAACGACTCGCCCGCTGTCGTCAGCACTCGGTTAGCCGCTGGGGGCTAATGTGGGGGGGTGCGTGAAGACGGGCAGAAAAGAGTCTCTGAGCGGGCGCCGCCGCTAAATAGTTTTTGTTTTCCAGTTCGGTCCTCCGTCTTCTGATTGGCTCCCTGCGCCGAGGCCGAGCCTGCCCCCTCTCCCTCGATTAGGCCGAGGGGCCGTCAATCAAAGTGACTGACGTGGTGAGTGGGGGGGTCAGGGGGGCTAAATCAAGGGGTCGGTCAAGGTCAAAGGTGACGCCGCCTCAGTTACAGCGGAGCCTCTTCCTCCATGGGCTCCTCATCCTCCGACCTGCGAACAGAACCAAACCGTTAAGCAGAACCAAAAGAAACCTGTCTGTCTGATGCACCTGTCTGACACACCTGTTTCTGACAACCTGTCTCTCTGACGCACCTGTCTCTCTGACACATCTGTCTGTCCGACACACCTGTCTGTCTGACGTGCCCGTTGGTCTGACGCACCTGTTCATCTGATGTGCCTGTCTGAAACACCTGTTTCGGACAACCTGTCTCTCTGACGCACCTGTCTCTCTGACACACCTGTCTGTCGGATGCAACTGTCTGTCTGGCACACCTGTTTCTGATAACCTGTCTGTCTGACACACCTGTACGTCTGACATGCATGTCTTTCTGACACACTTGTTTCTGACACGCCTGTCTCTCTGATACACCTGTACGTCTGACACGCCTGTCTGTCTGACACACCAGTCTGTCTGATGCACCTGTCTGTCTGACACACCTGTACGTCTGACATGCCTGTCTCTCTGACACCTGTTTCTGACACGCCTGTCTCTCTGATGCACCTGTCTGACACACCTGTCTGTCTCACACACCTGTCTGTCCGACACACCTGTTTCTGACAACCTGTCTGTCTGA